TGTTGATTTGTGCACATGAATTGTTTGATGAAATGTCAAAGAGAAGTGCATGTATGAGTATGATTATGTGTTACTTTGGGATGAGTTTGTAGATGGTAGAGAATGACATGTTTGCATTCCATAATGCATAATTGCATTTAAACATGTGAATTTAGAAAGAATTATAAGCATGAAACCATCTACATGCATACAAATTCATAAGAGTATGAGAAAGCACTAAAATATGTTAAAGAGAAAATAGAAATAAATGAGAATATTAAAGATATTCAAATCTGAATTTTAGTTAAAGAAGTGTAAAAAGATAAAAAGAAGAGAAGGTTGTTGCGATAGGGAGCCCATGAGTGACATAGCCCCACATGCACGCCACCTTTAGTGAGCAGCCTCAGAATTCAGAAAGAAGAATTGTACAGTCTGTTAGAAGTGTGTGTGGATGAGGACTGTACCCAGAATTAGAGAATTCACTCACACGGCCAGGGCTCCAAATCCATGCCTCAATTGAGTCCGATCGGCAAGAAAAGAAAGAATAGAAAGAAAGAAAGAAATAATAGAAAGAAAGAAAGAAAGAATAGAAAGAAAAGAAAAGAAAGAAAGAAAGAAATAAAGAAAAAGAAACAGAAACAGAAAACAGAAAACAGAATAAGAAAAATAGAAAAGAAAATGCATAATCTATGCATTTGTGCATTTGCATCATGAATATGCATAATACTATGCTCATTATCGTGAGTACTGAAAAATTAGAAAATTTAGAGAAAAACAGAGAGCAAAACAGAGAAAGAATGAGAAAGAATAGAGAGAACAACAAAGGACGAATAGAGAATAATCGGGAAATGAGATGTAAGGAAAAGAAAATTCAGAATTTAAGCAACGGAGAGAGAAGGGTAGCATAGCGGGTTTACTTAGTGAGCAATTAGTGCTCACTTCGTTGTTTTTAATGTTTTTGTAGGTAATAGGTGAGTTGCAGTCGCTCAGAACGTCACGCGGCGGAAGGGTTGGGCTACACTGTCAAGTTGCTATTTTGAGTATATTTTGTAAATATTTGTATATAAAGAAAATTTAAATATGGGCCCATACTTTATTACTCGTTTATATGTGTATTTTCTTATATATATTTTTAATGAGTTTTACTGATTATTTTATGAGTATACTAGCTAGAAAGAAAGTATTACAGAGCATCTATGAAGTACTATCGTAAGCAGCTCGGGTCCAATGTTGTTTCTCTATTATTATCATTATCAGTAATGTAAGGTCTCTTATGACCAATATTTGTTATCAATAAAGAGGTATTATTAAAAAAATTTATTGTTTATTTTTGTTTTAAGATCGTGACCTAAGTGATAACCTCTAAAAAACTTGGAGTCAAGAGTTCAAAAAAAGACAGCTTAGCTCTACAAGTCATGCCATAATTCAAACTCATCAAGGAAAAAATTCTAGGATACAATGAGGTTGAAACTCGAAAAACGCTTGAGTAAAACATGTCAAAGAAAGCCAGTCATAACTTGACGACCAAAACGCGAGATAGGCGACCAGCCCTAACTCGGCGTTGACGTAAGAAAGACTTTCTTAATTGTTCAAAAAGCACATCAAGAAGCGAGCTATGCATAACTTGGAGCAAATTCTAATTATTAGACTAAGTTCAATTACAATAATTAAAATGATCCGTAGAAATAAATGGGAAAAACACAACTTCATTGATTGTTGAATTCGGTTAAAAAAAAAAAAAAAAAAAAAGCAAATTTATTGTAATAGCCACTACTACTCAAAACTTTGTAAAGAAATACATATAAAATAACATAAGGAAATTGGGCCCAAATTTTTCTTTTATTAAACATATTTTAATCACAAACTCCCACATGGGGTTAGTGAGAGAGATTAGTGAGAGGGATTAATGAGATTAGTATTATTGTAATTAATGTAACATATGAGATGGCCTCTCCACGTAAGTTAGTATGGGAGATTATTGTGAGAGATTAGTAAGGTTAGTATTAGTAACAACTTTTGTATAGAATTAGTATGGTATATCATGTGGGTGTCATGTGACATAAAGGTTTACATGATATTAATGTGATATTATATTATGTGATTTTCAATGTCATGTGTCACGTTAGTTTGTATAAATTCTCTTTGTGTCGAAGTTTGTACAAATAATATTACCCTAAAATTATATGCTTGAATGAACTTAAAAGAAAAAAAAGTTTACTACTACAATCAACTCTAATTAGTAATTAGTAACATGATTTGATTTATAGATCTCAAAACATGTTCGATCGATGATCAATGCATGATATTTGTGTTTCATACAAGTAGATGTAAATAGAGATGGGTGTAAGGCGGGTTGGGGAATGAAGTCCTCGACCCCATCCTCGAGGGGATTACCCATACCTGCTCTAGTTGCGCCCCTACGGGGATGGAATGATCCCCATCCCCACCTCGCTTCACCCTAGAGGTTGGGGATTGTGGGTATTAATCCCACGAGGAATTTTTCCGGTGTAATGGATTATTTCAAACTTTTATTTTATATTGATTATATTTAATTCATTTGTGATAAACCATTAAATATAGTTAAAAAAAAAAACTTAATATAACAATACACTAAATACTTTTTTAAAATTTTAAGAAAAGTTTGGTAAGGGGCATAAATCAAAATCTATTAGAAACAAAAACAACAAATTAATAACTAATTTGTTGTAGAAGGGTTGGGGGGCGAGACAAACACCCCCAAACAAAAAAAAAAAAAAAAAAAAAAAAAAAAAAAATTACAAATTTGGTTGTGTTGTGTATTCGCAAGAATAAGTGAGAATGTAGGATAAAAATGCATTTGAGACTTGAGAGGTTGAGAAACAAAATCTAGAGATGGCAATAGGTCGGGCCAAGACCGAGAGGCCTTTTGCCCAAGCCCAGCCTGACCCCAATGGCACAGGCCCGGGACCGTTACAGGCATGAAGAGTAAAGCCCAAGCTAGACCCGATGGGCTTTTTGTAATCCAGTCCCGACCCATTTTTATAAGTATAATTTTAGAAACAATTATTAAATAGTAATCTTAATAATTATTGTGAAATAAAATAAATTTCAATTCTTTTTTATATTTTTAATTTTAGAAATAGTTTTTAAATATTAATTTATTTTGAATACTCACCAAATATATAAATAACAATCCACCCTCATTTCTTTTTATATAATTTTCATTTATAATGTATATATATGTAGAATAATTCTGTAATTAGATATATAATATAAGAATAATTTAATAAAATTAATAGTAAAATTGTCAAGCGGGGCCATGACTGAAGATTGTCCTATGCCCGGCCCGTACTCGAGGATGGGTCCTAAAATCAGTCTCAGGCTCAAGCCCAAGCCCAAGCCCAAACCTATTAACATCGGGTAAAGTTTGACCTTTTTGGGATAGGTTGGGTCGAGTATTCAAAAATATCAAGTTCATTATCATCTTTAACAACGTGTTTCATCTTCTTTTAAGTGGTTAATATTGATTTCATGAATCACATGTTTGATCTTTTTTTCTCAAAAAAAGCAAGGTTGATCAATATTTTATGATCAAAGGTTAGACCCTAGTTATTCTTAGGTATAGCAAAGTAGTAAAGAAAAGGATAATATTAATTACTTTTGTCCTTAACAAATTTCTCTTGGGATTCTCGAAACATTGCGACTTTTGTGCAAAGGTGGCATTTTCTTACAAGTCTTTAAATAGAGTAAATGACTATTCCCACCCAAATAATGACTTAGTGATATTATCTAAATTTAAATTCTGACAGTGAATATAGAGCAAACTTCATCCAGATTATTAGGGCTTTTAAAGAGGAAAGATTGATGAGTCTTTTGGTGGTAAAAGATTAAATTTTAGTGATTAAGATTTATCAGAATTTGATTTGGGAGAGGCGGCTACGCAAACCCTAATCACTCGATTCCCAATGATTTGAGAGGTGCGGGAGTAGAGTTTAAGGGGTTTTGGTGAGTGATGACCAGAGAAAAGAATGATGATGGTGTGGGATCATAACGATGTTAGAATAAAAAAGGGAATATAAATTTGAGTAGTAAAATATATTTTAAAAATTTGTGGGTAAGAAAGTGTCATTAAACCATTATTTAGATAAAAAAAAGTCGTTTGCTCTTAAATATATTCTATTAATCATATTGAAAGCAATTTTTATATTCAATAAGAAACTGTTTAATTGATCATCATCTTCTATAAAATAAAAGCTAGAAAAAAAAGAAGTTTTCAGTTTTTCCCAAACGATCAGCGTTATGATTTTAATAACTTAACATCTGTTCTTATAGCATGTGGAATTATGGCACAAGTAGCACCCTTCTCATGTGCAAAAATTCAGCCAGATGCTCATCAACAGCACAGATTCATTTATCATTTCAATTTGTGATAGGGTAATCGCGGTCCAGCTGGCAATTAATTATGAATTCTAGCACCCAAACCACAATTGACAAAGAGTATTAATTTTTAGGCTAGGATCAATGCACCTCTGCCGAAGAAATTCAGCATGTCGGCACCGCTTGCAGATGCAGAAGAAATTCAGCATGTTTTTGTAATTTAACTTGTGGGCGTGAAGGCACTTCTGCCGGCCATGAAATTGATTGTGGAATATAACTTCTTCACGAAAACCAACTTTTACAGTTGAGGGTAATGAATTTCGATCACAATATCAGTTATTGGAAATTAACCAGATAATTTGGCAATTTGGTGGATTTCCATATGTGTAGAGAGTGGGTTGTGTACGTTTCTAATTCCATCGTGATCACTGTGCTGTATGATGTATCTATGTTTATGTAATTACAAATGTACAGCTGTCATATCTAATTTTTTTTGGTATGGAAATCTTAAACCTTTGAATCTTATAAAAAATTAATAAACAAAAGCTATACCACTGAATATGAATACCTTACTGTCACAAGACTCTCTTCATAGATAAACACTCAACTCAAGAAGATAAACCCACTTCAAAACTTGCATTATTCAGCGTCCATCGAAATCCAAAATGGCAGATGAAACTACCTCATCATCTCCAACCATTGATCCCTACGAATACCTTCAGTTCTTCCCCAATCCCGACGGTACTGCCACTCGCAAAAGGAACGCACTCCTATCTAAGACCATATCCGATCCTGACCACGATCCTCGAGTTCTCTTCAAAGATGTCCCCATCAACGCTTCAAACAAGACCTGGGCTCGCATATTCCTTCCCCGTCAAGTACTTGATTCTTCCTCCACCACCAAGCTTCCTCTCATAGTTTATTATCCCGGCGGAGGCTTCATTATCGGCAGCCTAGACGACAGTATTTTCCACGATTTTTGCTCAAACGTGGCGCTTGAATATCCTGCTGTAGTTGTCTCAGCCCAGTACAGGCTTGCCCCGGAGCACCGTCTTCCAGCCGCTTACAATGACTCCATGGAAGCATTGCACTGGATCAAAACTACCCAAGAAGAGTTGTTGAAAAAATATGCTGATTTCTCTTCATGTTTCTTAATGGGGCTTAGTGCAGGTGCAAACACAGCGTACCAGGTAGGCCTGCGTGTAGCGGCACAGGTTGAAGACATATTGCCATTGAAGATCAAAGGGCTCATACTGCAGCACCTTTTCATTGGTGGGGTGAAGAGGACGGAGTCCGAGTTGAGGTTGATGAATAATCTAACTCTTCCGCTATGTGCTAGTGATTTAATGTGGGAATTCTCATTACCACATGGCGCTGACCGTGATCATGAGTATTGCAATCTAACGGTGGGTGGTGGGTCAGATGTCTTAGATCAAATCAAGCAACTTGGATGGAAGGTATTGATCACAGCAACTACTGGGGACCCAATGATTGACCGTCAGGTTGAGATGGCGAGAATGATGGAACAAAAGGGAGTTCAAGTGAAAAGTCATTACGATGAAGGAGGTTATCATGGAATTGACGTTATTGAGCCTGAAAAGCGTAAGGCTGTGCCTGTTATCATGAAAGAATTTGTGAATTCAGCCATGGCTCCTCAGTCAGTGAAGGATATTGTTGGTTAATTGGAGATTTTAGATTTGTCTTGTTTTCTTTATGATAAAATAAAAAATTAATAGGTGTTGGCGTAACTTTTCCGAAACCGTTGAATATTCAATGGTTCAAAAGTCAAAGTAATATTGTGAGATCCAATAATGAGATTCCTGTTGTAATATCTTTGTTAACCCTTATTGTATACCATACGGGTTACTAGATCTTGGAGATACTATTAAAAGATTGTGGTGTTTCTGTATGTGGAAAACTATGATAGTCGATTTAAGTTAAATCAATCAAAGTAATGATCGGTCGAGATCATGGTTAAGACCCTTCTTTTATCCCACACACACTTACACCCACACAGTTTCTAACATCATTCAAAAGGCTAGTCAAAATTAAACACACCAAGAACATAAATGAAAAACATATATATTAAACATGTCAAAAAACGCAAATGAAGAACATATATATTAAACACAAATGAAGAACATAGATGAGATCTTTTTCTACCGTTAACATTATCAGAATATTACAACACCCTTGAGGTTGAGGGAAAGTTAGAAGGATGAAAGAAACATGGAAGAACTATAGTAAAGATGTGTAAAGAAAATATGCAAGGGAGAAGTGAGAAATTGTTGATAAAAGAATAAAGCAAGAGAAATATACAAGAGTTTTTCACAATGCTCCTCCCCCCTCTACGAGAAGGTAAAAGCCTTTATTTATAGAGTAGAGTAATACATTGCATGCAAGACTCATAAATGAGTCATTTAAAACATGACGACTTTTTGACTTTTTTTTTCATTTACTTGCCTACAATACTTGACTTTTACAATTCACACGGAAGATATTACACTAAGTTGGCAAACTACCATTTAGTCCACGACTATTTTACATAAATGACACAACTTTTATTTTAAGACATGTAGAACTTTAATCATTTGACAGGTTTGTAACATGCCAGGAGTTTTCATTCTAAAAATCGAGACAACGCATTGATTAAATCTAGTTAGTAGGGATTTGTCAAGAAGATGTATCTAGATGAGTATCTGGAGAAATGTCTGGAAACTGAGTTGTCTGCTTTGCAGAGGTACTTGGTGCATGCATGTACTATTGTCACAGGGATTTATGAAGATAGTAATTACGAGACTGTTGAAGTTCTTCTTCCTACACAGTATTTGGTTATAAGTCTAGGTACCACCATTCTGGATAATCTAAAGTGGCATTGAATTAAGCAGTGATGGAATTTATGCATGTTTATTTGGCTTGGAGTAATTTCTTAGTGTAGTCTAGAGGAAAGAGTTCCTACAGAGCATCATCGCGAAAGGATGGCCATATTTCATCTAGAATTATCTGATTTTTTTCAAAAATGATTTTTTTGAATTGATCTAGTCTCAACAGGATGGTCAAATATATTATGAACGAGATCATATAGATAAGACTGATGAAATGTTACTTGATGCTGTGAAAAATATAGGCCATCGGATCTGATAGAGTGATGTCTGTGGAAAGACATGATAGATCATGCCATTTTGGTAGACATAGGACCTTTGTATCGGGCAAGCTGATGAGCAAACACAGATTTCCATTTTTCTAGGGTTTTGAACCATTTGAGAAAAGTCATCAAAAAGTGTAACTTAGAGGTTGAGGATGACTGATATTGGGAAATTATTTTCAGCATATGATGCATCGAGAATTCAATGACAATGTGGTACTAGTGTAATATATACCAAAAGAACTGTAATAATTCTTCTGGACATATGATATCAAGACCTAGAGGTAAACAAAAGATTTTTGAAAAAGGGTAATCTGGATGGACACCTAACATATCATACATGGATTGTCTACATTTTTCAATGCATTGAATCTGATAAGAAAGCATGAGGATGGTATCATTTTCATCAATGGTACGAGTTCGAACAAGGTCATTGAATTCAAGAGTTATGTCTAGAGCATGGTTTGGTGAAGAAGATGATGAACAAGAATTGGACTAGTGTTAGACCGATCGTCACAGTCTAAAAATTAAACCTAAATACCGTAGTTAGCGGTAAGCAGGATCGAATCCACAGGGAGCAAGACTAACAACCTAATATATTTTAAGTAGCGAAAATGAAATTGGCAATGGATTAATGAAACTAAATAGACTAAATGCAAATAATGAAATAGTGCAATTAAAACTAATAAAAACTTTATAATAAAAATGTTGCCGTTACGGTTTTGGTTCGACACGAGACCGACTCATACAATTCTTCTCCACCCTCTACGATCCCCTAAACCTACAAGGCAAGGTAAATCAATGAAATGGTTTCCCGACACTCTAGGTATAATCTATCCTGTCTCACCCGATCACTCAAGTTCGATTGGTTAAAGACTATCATTGAACGTCGATAAACGCTACAAGGCAATACCACTAGTTGGTGCGCGATTAACAAATACAATCTGTCAACACGTAATATCCAATCAACCAACTTCACAATAAACGCAACAATAGTAGAAATTAAATTAAATCCAAACACAACTCAATTACAATCGATGCGAAGTAATGTAAGCAATATTCATCATTTAATTATTCCAAACCAACGTTTATCATTCAGCAAGTTCTATGAAAACATTAAATCACAATGGACAACAATATTCATCACAAGTTATGCCCAAATCATATTAAAGTATCGAAATCAATCATGAAACGAAAACAAATATAATCCGAAGCACAATACTACCAAATGTCCTATAATCGGGCAAATCCAACTAGTCGAGAGCTGATGAGGAGAGTCGTGGAGTCAATCCCGATCTCGCCTATGCCGTAACAGACAACCGGGAGCTTAGCCGCTCATGGTGGTGATGACGAAGGCCGAAACGGTGGAAACGTAGCTGACCATGGCGGAGAGGAGGTAACTGACAGCGATATGGTGCGAAAAAGGGGCGAAAACGACCAACGGAAAGCCCGGAATACGAACAGCCGCGGTTCGCAAAAAAATGTTAATTTTCCGGCTGGTCTCCGGAAAATGGTGGCGGAAATGGGATCCGAAGGTACCGATGGAAAGCTCTGGTGATGGGGAGTTCAGATCAGGTCCTGAGGAGGTGAGAAGTCGCCGAAAATGAGCAGGATCTGGCCTGGAAGATGAAGAGTCGCGACGGCTAAATCACGGATTCCGGCGGTTTTCGCGGCGGCTGAAGCAAGGGAAGTGTAGATCCGGCTATGGGGAATGAAGATCTACCCTTGGGGAGCTGGAAAGTCACCGGAAAATGGCCAAAACTGGCCGGGAAGATGAAACGACGCGGTGGAAGATGAAGCATCGCGGCGTGGTGGTTGGCTCACGGTGGTGATGAAGGGATGATGGTGATCTGTGGTCGAGGAAGCCGAAGAGTCGCCGGAAATGGAAGACAAAGGGTCACGGTGGTGGAAGATGAAGGGTCGCCGAAAAACGTAATGGATGGCGGCCTCCTGTTCACGCGATCTGAAATTTTGTTTTATAGAACAAACTGCAAAATTTTAGTTTAGTCCCTACATAATTGAAAAGTGACAAAATAGCCCCTTAAAACATGACATTTTACCCCCTAAACAGCATAAATGAGACAAAATCACCCTTAATCCATAAACCACAACCTAATATCAACCCATATACTTTCCAAAATCATTCCAAACACGTTAAATTCATAAGAAAAATATTAAGAAACGATTTTCGTGAATAAATTCATAAATTCTTTAATTGTCTCAATATACTTCAATTTAATCACAAATGGGGTATTTTTATCACCAAAATAGAGTCACTTTCATGACTCTAACAACTAGGTTAATGGTTGGAACATGAAACAGGGAAGATGTTTGGATCTACGGTTCATGAAACCGACTTGTTTAGTTTTAGGTTTGGATAAATAATCTGCAATGATGTTGGTGTGACCTTTGATGTGCTGGATGATGAAGGAATATTTGCTGAACCATTCTGCCCATCAAAGTTATTATTGATGCGGAATCTTTTTCTTGTTGAATCGGAGCATTTGATCAAAAGACTTCATATCCGTTTCAACAAAGAAGTGATGTCCAACAAGATGGAATTCAAACCTTTCAATGGTATTTTTTACTGCTAATACTTCCTTGAAAGTAGAATGATGATGTTGTTGATGTGGTTTGAATTGTCCACTCTGGTATCCACACAAATGTCGTACTTTGTCATCATCTTGTTCAAAAAGCATTGTACCCCAATGAGTGTCACTAGCTTCCGTCTGAAGAATTCATTTCCCAGAAGAAGGAATCTTCAATGGCTGTGTATGGAAGGATTTGCGTTTAAGACTCTTGACTGCATTTGTTTGCTTTTTCAGACCACGAAGGAGGATTCTTCTTAAGCATCTGGGAAAGTGGAGTAGTGAGATGAGAAATGTTGGGAATAAAACTGCGTATGTGATTGGCAATTCCCAAGAATTGTTGTATTTCTTTCTTGGTTGTGAGAACATCTGGGAATTTTTGCAACTCATTAGCAATATGAGCTAAAGACCATACTTGCCGTCAGCAATCACCATACCAAGAAAATCAATCTTTGTCTGCCCTAACTAGATTTTCTTCTCAGAGAGCATAATACCATAAGAGTGTATGATATTAGCAAATTCATGAAGAAGACGTATATGAGATTTCCCGTCTTTTGAAAAAAGCAGGATATCATCGACATAAATGAGACATGTATGAAGAAGGGGAGCAAAAATCTTCGTCATGGCTTTCTGAAACAGGGAAGGAGCGATCTTAAGTCCAAAAGGCATGACCGTCCACAGTTAGTGTTGGTTGGGAATGCAGAAAGCAGTCTTATGACGATCATTAGGATGAATTCCAAGTTGCCAGAATCCAGCTTTGAGATCAAATTTGGAAAACATCTTTGCATTATGGAGATTTGCAAAGAGAACTTGTCTGGAAGGCAAAGGAAATTTATCATCACAGAGAAAGAAATTCAATGGCTGATAATTGATAACAAGTCTGAGTTTTCCTCTGGCTTGTTCAGCACGTTAATTGACATAAAAGGCTTCACATGCCCATTGAGAATCT